CCCTTCTGCCACACAGCTCCCATGCCCAGGCACCCCACCCACAGCCTCTGGTGCCTGGCCAGTTGGCAGCAGGGGCTGGGTTGGAGCACAAAGAGAAGTGAAGCTGCCAGCTGAGGAAGAGAAAGGGAGATGCCACCTACTCACCTCCCTCTTTATCGGCAGCTCCCAGTCCTGAGAGAGGCTGAAGGCAAATTTGCAGAGGACTCTGCAAAGGAAGAGAGCAATGGCAGCACACCCACAGCCAGGTCACTCTCCCAGCCTGCACCCACAACTGCTGCCCACAGGCACGCTGACACCTGCTCCTCAGCCTGCCCCAGCACGCCACGAAGCTCACAAGGAGGAAATTCTCTTTGTTGGTGTTGAAAGGGCAACACCAGACATTCATCCCTTTTCCCCCTCTTCTGGGCTTCGCATCCCGGCAGGCCCAGGCTGGGAAAAGGAGCCTGAAGATGTGACTCGAGTGCAGCCCCTGCAGAGCCGGGCAGGGCAGTGCAGGGAGGCAGGACCAGCCTCTCCTGCTGCACCTCCCCCAGGGACACAGCCGGCAGCGGAGCCTGGCACCTTCCTCTCCAGCAAGCAGACCCCTGGCAGAAGCACCTCAGAGTTTTTCTGCACCTCCCCTCTCTCCCTCTCTCCAGGTGAAGTGTCCTGACCCCGGGCTCAGGCGCTGCGTGGGGACAGCACACGGAGCTCCCTCACTGAGCCTGGCTCCAAGCAGGGGCTGCTGCAGGCAGAGTCTCAGCCCCATGCCTAGGGCAGGGATGAGCCCCTCTGACCTCCTGGCAACAAGCTCATCAGCCCTTCAGGCTCAGGGGAAGCTCCTGCGTGGGGATCTCCTCCAGCTCCTGCAGCAGTGAGGGAACTGAGGCCCTCCCCAGGAAACTGGCTGGGAGAAACACGATGTGAGCTTCTGCTCCTGCTCCACTCAGACCTGGGCCCCACCACCAACCAGTTCAGTTCCACCTGGCCCTGGGGCTGTGCTGAGGACAGCAGCCACGGGACACCACAGCACGTGGGGGGGGGACTCCCCTCCTCCCCCTCAGCAGCAGCACAAAGACAACGGGGCACCCCGAAGTGTGTACACGAGGTCTGGCTGCAGAAGCTCCCTCTGGGGCCAGAGGCAACTGGGTGGCACAGACAAAAGCCAGTTCCTGCAGGACAGCAGAAGCAACAGGGCTGGAGAGGCGGTGGTGGTAATGTGGGGGGTTTTCTCTGCAGCTCCCACAGGATGTGGCTTTGAGGAGTGCAGGAGGGCCAGGAGCTCACTGCGTGGGTGTGGGACCTGGGCTCCAAGAGAGGTGCTCTGGGAGAGCTGAGGCACTGAAGTGTGCCCGAGTGACCCAGTGAGAGACTGCTCCCCAGCCAGCCCACCTCCCTGGCACATCCCCTGTCCCCTGCTTGGGCTCGTGGTGGAGGAGCTGGACAGCAGGGCTTGGAAAAGGCACCATCGGAGTAGGTGGAACTCAGGGGAGGTGGCTGCTGGCAGGCAGAGGCTGTCTGCTCCTCATGACAGCTCCTGACCAGCCAGGCACCGCACATCACTTTCAGCTGTCTAGACACTCGCTGCTGCCTCAGCACACAGAAGGAAATCTCTGCAGCAGCCCATGCAGAGGGCCCAAAGCCAGCCACAGTGAGGGCCACCTCCTGCAGAGGAGGATGAAACCCATCCCAGCCCCTGGCGAGGCCCCTGGGGACACTCACCTCAGCTCACACTTGATCTGCACCCAGCCGGGACTGCGCAGGAAGGACCAGGGATGGAACCACTTCTCCACAGTCTGCAGGCTCGAGCACAGCACCTCCAGCCACAGATGCAGCACCTGCTCGCTACAGCAACAGGGCAGAGGCACGTCACTCAGCTGAAGCCAGGGAAAGAAGCCCAAGTCTTGACCCCAACCCACAGTCCTGTCCCCAGTGGGAAGAGGATAACCTAGTAAACTTGTATGAGCCACTTCATTCAATAAGAGCTATTTCTTTCAGGCCAGCATGAACAAGAAAGGAGCAGGTCCCACTCAGTGGCTGCAGTGAGGGGGGAAGAAGACCCTGTGGCTTAAGGTAGGTGGAAACAACTGCTGCTCTTGGGCCTGCTCTGCCACCTCCCAAGCTCCTCACACCGCCCCTCCTCTGCCTGGGGGTACCAGGGCCAGAGACTCACTTGAGTCCAACGCAGATGAGGGAACGAAGCTTCACGTCCATCTGGGCATGTGCAGCATCGTGTGTCACGTTCACAGCCTGAACTGCCTGCAGGGAGGGGATATGTGGGTACCACCTTCTCAGCTTGGCCTCGGGCTGCTTCAGCAACACGAACAGCACTCCCTCCCCGGGGCTCCCCACCCTCACCCAGTGCCCCCTGCTAGCACCAGCGGGACCAAGCCTCCTGGTGCCTTCACTTTCTGCCTTTTCCCAAGCACTTGGTGTCTCCTCTACGTGCCATCAGCAAAGGGCCAGGAGACTCTCCAGCATCTCCCCAGAGATGGGCATCACCCTCCAGCAGCCCCCACGGGAGACTTCTCCACGAGGAGCTGGGCTCTGCTTGGGCTGGGGGCAGCACTCACCCGGTAGAGCAGCTCCTCTGGAGTGAGGACTTTGCCATCTTCATCAAGCCTGCAAAGATGACAGCAGGGACCTAGCTAGCTCCACAGCCACCCCGGGCACGTGGGGGCCTTTCCCCTCACGCTCCAACAGCTCTCTTGCTGCTGCTGAGCCCACAGGTGATCCCACAGCCATGAGGGAGAAAGACACCACCCCAGAAGCAGACATGGGAGCCAGGGCAGGGCACAGGAGCCACTGCCAGCCCCAAGTCAGGCACAGCAGCCTGCTGGCAGCACAGCCAGAGCAGGATGGGGCAGACCACGACCCTGCCTGAGGTGCAGAGAGCTGCCTGGTGTGAAGGAAGGGGCCTCACCTGTAGGTCTTGCAGAGCACGAGGCGAGAGTAGACGGAGTCAAAGTCCCGCTCCACCTCCCGGCTGGCAGCCTGGCAGGGCAGAGGCACAGTCAGCACACTGCCCCACAGCCCGCTGGCAGCGGCCCCACGACGGGGACTCACCTCCTCAATGAAGAGCCAGGGGTGGCAGGCCCCTCCCAGCAGAGATGGCTTCTTCAGGCCATGCTCAAAGATGGACTTCAAGGCTGGACAGAGGGTCCCCCGCACCAAGTCCGTCACCCCTTCTGTGACCGAGTCATCTCCAGCGATGGAGTACTGGGGAGGAGGAGGAGCTGGTGAGGGAGCAGAGCATGGAGGTGGTCTGCTAACCCACAGCCTCTCCATGAATACCCCTTCCACCCCCACGTGCCCACCAGCCCCCTCCCCCTTATCCCCTTATGCTCATGGTGGCTCTTCCATATGGCGCCACGTTCAGTGTGACTCCCCAGGGATTTGCTGGGACACCAAGAACTTTGTGCCTGGGAGCTGCCCAGGAGACCCCTGAGGTGACCCCAGAGGTGACCCCAGCACCACCCTGGCAATGTTCAGCATGTAGAAACGGCTGAAGTTTGGTGTGGTGCTGACTGAGCTAAGGTAAGGAGAAGAACTTGCACAGAAGGTCTCTGCAACTCTATAAGCTCCTAAAAGTCAAGGCAAATGGGGACAGAAGGGAATTCCCAGGTCAGCTGGTACAACCCCTATGAGATACCACCCTGACACGCTGTTAGCATGAAGGGCATTCCAAAATTAGGATGAGTGGGATCCTCTCTATTTCCACAGCTGGGAGGAGAACTGCCCAGCAGTACAGGGTGTCTTTATGCACAGAGAGCTGATCTGCATCTAAAGATGCAGCACAGAGAGGTGACCTGCATCCAAAGAACCAGCACAGAGAGGTGACCTGCATCCAAAGATCCAGCCCTGGGAAGGGGGTGAGGAAGCAAGTGAGGTATCAATAGTGACACATCTCTAAGGGCTTCTCTTGGGGGTCTCAGGTCAGCCTTTGAGCCCCTCCTCACTCTCCCATTGCTGAGGAGAGGGAAGATGGGGTCTTCCCACTTCCCCTGCACACTGCCTGATGAGGTTTGCCTCCCATCCTTACCCCAGCCTTGGGGCCATATTGTGGCTCATTAGGTGGCATCTCACCACTTCTGGCTGTGAGATGAACCAAGACAGAGCTCGCAGGGCACAGCTGCTCAGGGAGGATCCACTGCAGTGACCACAAAGCAGGAGTGGGATCCAGAGGCACAGCCCCAGGGGAGCACAGACAGCAAAAATGCTGCCCACAGGTTCCTCCTGCCTGCTGCTTCAGCATTCCTGAAGTTCACCTCTAGAGACCCTGCAAGCCCAAGCATCACACTCAGCTACCCCCTCAGCCCTCCCAGGACTTCATTCTCCAATAGGTCAGCACCAGGACGTTGAGCAAACAGGCTTGGGAAGATAAGGTGCCTGATCACATCACTAAGCACTCAACAGCCAGAGAGAGAGCAAAGAGACTGAAGGAGGGAAACACACTGCTCTTTCCACTGTGGTGTTTCAGTTATGGCATGACTCTTCTTTTTTAATGTTGGATTATGTACTTGTGTGTGTATGTATTATTTATTTTCTAGTCATAATTACCTCTTTACTCCGCTCATCCAAGACCTCCACAAATTTTGCAGGAAACCAACCTAGAAAGAGTGGACAAAGAGGTGAGTCTGACATAAGACACGGAGAAACCTCTAACACAGACCAAACCAGACCCCACCCCAGGGGAAGCTGAGAATAAACCAGAGTTTGTAGGGTCCAACACCAAGCAAGTACCCTCAAAATTCTAAGAACTAAGGCAACTGCAAGAGGAAGCCAATTGCAGGACACTGCTCACAAGCAGCAGAGACAACAGGCACCCAAAGACCCTCTGCCAGGAGGATGAAACCTAAATTTGGCATTTGCAAGAAGCAACCAGGAAGCTGCAGCACTGCTCTCATACCCTGCTTTAACATTTCCCTCGTGCCCAGCAGGTGCCCTGGGTAACCAGCAGAACCTCTGCTGCACATCCACTGGAGCAGTTGCTGTGGGTGATGAATGGATGCCCCACACCCAGCCCCACTCTGCTCTCACCTCTCAGTCCATTCAGCTCTCCCACCCAACAGTGCTCGTCCTTCTGGGAAATGATCTGAAAAACAGGGAGTGGGAAACATCAGTTGGAAAGTGCAGTGCCAGGAGAGCTACAGGTGCCTGAGTGTGTGGGCACAATAAGGAACTGCCTTCACAACTGTTTTGCCAATGCTCTCTCCTCACGTGGCCCAGAGCCCTCAAGGGCAAACAGCTACTGCAAACCCAACACTACCCTTGTTCTCCCCAAATTCAGATGGGATGCTCACAGCTACAATGTAAATGGATGCTTTCATAGTCTTACCACAGCTCAGCCAGCAGTGTCCAACCAGGACCTAGGCTGGAGCAACTCAAGCTGCAGGGAAAGGCCCTTGGGGTCGCACTGAGAATGAGCCCAAGCCAACGCTCACAGCCACATACCCCCTCATCCCCAGGCAGCCCCTAGAAACACCACGTGCTTCCCTCAGACCCCTAACTGGTCCCTGAGGCCCCGGGGGGGCCCTGCCCTGCCCTGGCAGACCGTGATGATGTCGTTCTTGCGGAAGCCCAGCTCGTCGTCGTCGTGGCGCTCGAAGTCCAGCAGGGCCTTGGCGCGGCGCCGCCGGCTGCGGGAGCAGGCCACGTAGCTCTCGTGGTCCCGCTGGTGGCTCTCCATGCTGTAGTCTGGAGTCAGATCCTGGGGCACCCGTGGGGAGGAAGGGCAAAGGAAAGCAATATGTGACTCCCAGCGGATCTTGCGTGCTCCTTTCCCGAACCTTTTCCTGTTCCTAGCAGGCAGGCAGCCTCCCAGCACAGCCCTCCTCCACCAGGGATGGGTTGAGCGGCCCCCCTGTCCTCCACCCGTCACACCTGGCACGTTGTTCCCCCTGTGGGGGACACCCCAGGCTCGTGCCCGGGGCGCAGGGCAGTGGACATCCCGCTGCTCCCACTCACAATGCTGCAGTTCTTGGGATCCACGCACTGGAAGTGCCGTGCCACCTGCAGAATGGCCTCACGCAGGTCAGCCACCAGCTCTGTCTGCTTGATGTTCTTGGCTTTCAGTGCCTCCAGATCCTCATCTCCTGGGGGAGCCCACACAGCCAGGGGGAAAGACAGGGAGGGAAAACAAGTATAAGGTATTTATTTTCATATTAACATCAGAAATCATTGACTCTGTGTGACTTGCAGAGCAGGATGACATGTTTTGCTGAGCATGGACAATCAGGGCAGACAGTGAGATTCTCATAGGCCTGAGAAAGTCTGTGAAACAACCTTGAATTAGGAAAGAAGCAAAACAAGGAGGAGATAAGAGGGCTCCACTGGCAGCTCACCCAGACAAGAATGTCAACACTGGCAGAGCTGAGGACAACAATTCTGAAGGCTGACAGGGCGTGTGGACAGAGCATGGACAGTGATTATGATCCAATCTGTAGCTCAGCTTAGGCATGTGAACAGGCTCATTCACCTATGGGGCTCAGGGGGCTGTCTCTTGACTACTCTAAAAGGCTGTATAACTCTGCAATAAGGGGATTTGGCTGCAGACCCTTTGAAGTGTGCATCTTTTCTCCAGAGCTCCCTCCCAACAACTCTGCAGAAATAAGTGTCTTGTTGCCATACTGCCAACCTACTCAATAATGCAAACAGCCAACACCAATCTGACCATCTCAGATTTTAAGGAGATGGTATTTCAACCAGGCATGGAACTGGCAGAGGCCACCTTTCATCTGTCAGTGTACTAAGGGACTGTGTGACGCTTCAGACAATTGCCTACACAGTTTAGAGACAACTGAATGGTGGGACACAAAACTAGGGAACTTTGCCAAAATTCTCTGCAGCTGAAGTTCTCTTGAAACTGAAACAGCTTTTGGTTGAACTACTTCTGATTTTTGCATACCTCACAGGCTGAGAGCACCTTTTTCACTGAGTCTTGGAAAAGATTTGAAGAACCAAGCCAGCCCACTTTGCTGTGTCAGTCTGGAAGTCAGAGCCACAACACAACAGCCACCATCTACTTAAGACCTTGACCTCTCTAAGAGCCAGACTGCAAAGGTTTTGGATGTACAGAAATGGTTTTTAAGTACAAAGTAAAAGTTACCAAAGAATCTTTCAACTGTCACAAATTTCCCTGGGAGTTTCAACAGCCTATCTCTACTAATTTCTGCAGGAAGATATCTAACAGGATGGACTCTTGAGGCATTTAATGTATAACTGAATGCCTGAAAAATTTGGTCCATGATGTTTGGGAACAATGAACCACTTCTTTCTCTAAAAAAAATTCAGTTTATTTTGAATTCAAGGTGTATTTTCATACATCTGGTTTTGTTCTCTCTATAATATACAGAAGATGTGGGATCTCGATGAACAGAATCAACATTTAAAACAATGATTTTTTCACCAAACTCCAGTTTTATAGGAACACAGCTTTTATGCAAGACCAGAGTAAATTACTGGCTAGCAAATTAGTACTCTGCTTATCTCCTAACAGCATTATAGAAACGAATATGAATAAAGTGTGGCCCAGGCTATACAGCTGCTGCAACAGCTACATACACATCAAGCTTCTTATTGAAAAGTGATTAACAGTCTCTTTCAATCAAAAGTGATGCTAGTTAAAAAGAATAAAACTTTAAAAACATAACTAGAAGCACAAAATTAGATTTACATTTATTTTTGTAATTGTCTTCTGTTTGCTTAATTAAGTGATTTCACCAGTCCAAGTCCTGAGAATTAACCAAACCTCCTCCTTGGAGGCCAGGGGTAGGAAAGAGAACGTGGTAAGAAATCTCACTACAGATTCAGAGGTACAAAGATTGTAAATGGGTGATGACACAGACAGTGGGGATTCCCAGAAAATTCATGTTGCTACAACAGAATATCTCTGAAGAAGAAACTACTCAGCCACAGCCACCCAGCTCTGTGGGCTGCCCTCAATCACTCATTCTCTCTGTCACCATTCAGTCCCTTCTGGCCAAAATACTCTTCTCCACCCTTTGTATGCAGACAATCCCACTCCAACACAAGCAGGGGATGTGGGAAGCAAGTTCCACAGCCTTCCACCTCAGAAGATACAGGACACACAGGACAGCCACTGGGGTTTCCACCAGATCCACCTCACTGCACCCAAGACATCTGCACGTACACCTCCAGAAGAGGAAGCCAGTGCAGGATCAACCACGTACAAGGAGGCTGTTTGGAGCCTGCAAAGGCTGACTGGCTGCAGAGCTGTGCAGAGGACTAGCTCTCCTGCATTTCCTTGTTGCAATGCCCATCCAACAGGAAAAGGGCAACGTGCACAACTTGTTCTCTGCCAAACTGCCTTTGCTGTTTCTTCTTTCTAGTCCTTTATTAGAAATCCAGTCTAACTCCTTGACTCTCAGCTAGAGAAAGCCCTGGTTGACCTGCCCTAGCATCAGCAAGAGTCTGGCTTTCAGCAGGAGAGGTTAGCCTAGAGTTCCCTTCCAAAAGGTGGTTCCCTTCCTATGATTCTATGACTCCTGTCCAAGCCACTACTAAATCTGCATTCCTTCTAAGGAAGAACTAAGTTCTGGGTAAATTCTTATTCCCAACCAGACAAGGGCTATGCACCAGCCAGACACAGGTCAACTGACGAGTTCCCAGTATAAGGTGAATTTACCACATCCAAGCTTTCCTTCCCCTCATTTGGGCTGAAGTCCTCCATCCTGGTTGTCTGCTGCACGATGGCAACTTCCCTATTTTAACCAACAGTTTAAACACTAAGAATAACATTAGGCAAAAACCATGCCAGCCACTGTACAGAAGCCCCACTAAAATGAGAAAACACTATCAGTCACCTCATTCCTACCACTGATACATTTTGAAGCTTGAAATTAGAATGTTACCTTGTGGGTATAACTCACTAACACCTTCCTAAAAGTCTCCTTGACCAAGTTAGAGTGGTATCTAAGACACAGGAAAGATGCATTTGGTTGCTGAGTTCCCTGCTGGTTCAGCCTGTACCCACTGATAACATTACAAACAAGAGGTCTGGGTTCAGGTTGCACAAGCAGCTTTCCTGCATTTCTTCACTTCTACATGACTGACTTTGCAGCTTCACTGGTATTGTACCATAACTTTTATATGTAATGCTATGTGTGTTTGTAGCAACCCTGTGACAACATATCAGCTTTCTGGAGAACATCAGAAAAGCTCTTCTCTGAACAGACTGGTAAAACCCAGCTTTGGATTTATTTGGGCCATTTCAACCACAACAGCAACACTATCTGGACCCTGTAAGTTCAGCCTGTTGTCTTCCTCCGGAAGGACAATTTCTGTGGTGAGATGTGGCAATTTCAGGAGAGCTAACCAGCTGCAAGGGAGGTGATGACAGCCAGGCTTACAATAGAAAGGGCCACTATGGAGTCACAGAAACTTAGTGTGGCTGTGTGCTTTCTGGACATAGGCTGGCTTAGCTCACAAGAGAGGAAAATTAAGACTCAAAAGTGTTTGCAACATCAAACTCCCAGAGCAAGGGGAAATATCAGTGATGTTTGCATTTATCAGTTTTGATGGGTGACACACTGGATCATCCTGCCCTGTCTCAGATTTTCAGAGATGTTCTTGAACTGAGAAAAGTAAGGTCTGGAGAGTACAACATTCAGCCTGTGGACTGCATATGGTCTGCCAGGAAATGTGTTTGACCTGTTGGTCAGTGCAAGGAGGGTATTAGAGCTGGGCTGAGCGGCAGCCCACTGTCACTCACCATTTAAGGACTAACCATGCAACCTACAATTCACTTTCTAACCTAAATTCACTTTCTGAGTTCAGATGAAAGCAAGCAAGTAGAAAACTGCACTTCTTCCTGCTCAACCTTCAGCCCTGGTTCCATTCTCTCCTCTTTGCTGTTCCAGTGTTTCCCTGCTTCTCTCACTCCACTCCTTCCTAGGCTGCTCCACCCCTCAACACCACAGGAGAGGCAGAGGATTGTCCTTACCAAAAAGCAGAGAGGTGATGCCAGATTTCCTGCGCTGAGTCCTGCGCCGCACGATCTGCGGGAGAGGGAGGAGAGGGAACAAAGTGCACACATCAGGACAGATTTCAGAAATAAAACAAACCAAACCTTCACACGGGTCTGGTCTGGTTCAAGGGGTGCTGACAGCTACCACTGGGAAGGGGCAGGCAACTGAACTGGCAGTTTTAGACAGTTGTTCCAGTTCTAACACAATGAATCAGCTCTACTGCTTGATCTGCTCCCTGTGCAATGGGTTATTTATAGCTCAATTATGACGAAAGCATAGTTTAAGTTCAGGAATCAACCATGATTCAAGGGAATAATTTTAGTTCTAATTCCACTTGTTGCCAAAAGCAGTCCCACGTGTAATTTCATAAAAATTTCTAAGTGGATGACTGTTACGTTTTAGAATTGCAGCAGGGTCTTGTGATGAGCAGACAGATGAGCATCAAGAATAAATCTTCCACGCAGCCTTGACGAACAGGAGCTGCTACATCTGACATTAAACACAAGTGCACTTTTTATCCAGCTTCTCAAAGGCTGCTGCTGCTTTCCCACTCCATCTTCCAGAGTTCTTTTAGTGTGTCAGCTACTTATTAGTAAATTAACTCTACTTCCTACTCTGCATGCTCCAAGCGAATCCTGACAAAAGCATACCTTGTTTCTTTTAGTCTCCATTAATAAAATGCATCACTTTCCATCAAAAGTCTGATTAATGAGAAACACAATCAACATCAACATCCCTTTCTCCTGGGGATTTATCAGCCAGGACAGATCTGTCAGCGTTTCATGAACACACAGCTCCTCCTCACTTCCTAACACCTTTTCTCCACGGGATCATCCCGCAGCCAAAATCCCCTCAGGAGAGGCAGAGCTGGGAGGGCACAGGGAAGAGAAGGGCCAGGGGAGGCAGGGGGGACGGGGTGCACTCACTTTGGCCAAGCTGCTGACGGCGGTGCCGGGGTGGAGCAGCTGCCCCTGGTCGGCGATGAGGTAGGCCAGGTGCTTGCGGC